ACTAGTGTAGCTCTACTCTCTTGAATTATTATTTTGAGTAAAACGGTTCCCTTCTTTGGGAACCTACTATAATCAAGAGCAAGGTGTTGGGTAGATGTTCCATCTAGGTTTCTCTACTTTTAGTGTTCTAGGACTCTAACTCAGAACCTTCTCCTTTTGGATCGTTTGTTTCTTGACACTAAGCACTGTGTTCTAGCCATTTGACCTTCATAATACCCGGAATAATGCAGTTGATTATTACGGGTTAAAAATTAATTGAAAGAATAGTCAGCACAACTTTGAATCTTTTGGTACACTTTCCACAGATACCTCTATTTATACTGTAATGGTTAATAATACGGCCTTTTATTTCCTATGTTTAGTGATTTAGAATCTAGAAGAGAAGTAAAAAAAGAAGAAGGTGAAGCTTTTGCACGAGAACATGGACTTATCTTCATGGAAACTTCTGCTAAGACTGCTTCCAATGTAGAAGAGGTAAATAAGAGGCCCTTCTAAATGTTCATCATCTTCTCACTTAATTGAAATGTATTGTATACTTTAATATTCACTTATTGATACATCTTCCATAAGCTTTTTAGTCTTTGAATATCATAGAGTAGGAAAATTTCTTCTGTTTGAAATGCCTTGCCTTGTAACATTCATCTTAAATCAGATTCTTAAATAATATTCCGAGCCTTCTCTTGAAGCCAAAATTCTTTAACACATCTTTGCATATATTTATCTTAGAGGGAAAAAATGAACACTAATGAAATTTGGAAATGTATCAAGATACTAAACATTTGTAGCTATTTTTTCTACTTTTGCTTAAATAGGGAAGGTATTACATTATTTCTTTGTAACATACAAAGTGTGGGAATTCCGCCATCTTTAATAAAATTTAAAGTATCTCAGTTATTTCCATTGATCAGCCTGAACTGCTACAAGTTTTCTGAACACATCATGTTCTTTTTATGCTTTCTATATTTGGATATGGTATTTATATACTATACATAGATGAGTAGATAATTATCTCTAAGGTAAAAGTATTGCTACAGTCTATTTTGTAAAAGGCAGGAAAGATGCTAAAAAAAATAAGTAGTTTGCCTAGAGTAATGCTGTACTTCCCACCTTCTGGGTAAGTATCTTAGCAGCTACAAAAAGGGAATCTAGAAAATAAATGATTTTAAAATGTCATTTTTCTAAGGATAGCAGAGAATAAGATGTTAGGCAGCAGCTAACACTATGCCTTTAACATAGTAAACAGTGAGTAAATTTTTATTAAGAATATACTTGGGGCTCTTCTAATTAACTTTTGAACCTAGAAATTGACTACAGTAATTCAACAGCATTGGTATATTCACTGGAAAATTCTAAAGTATGATATTATACTTACCTATACTTGATGAGGTGCTCATCATTTCCTACAGCCACCAGTTAATGCTTTACTTATTGCCAGTAATTACAATTTGATAACATACAAGAGTAATATTGCACTTTGCACAATGAACCCAGAGAGAAATTTGTTCTCTTTGTTCAACTTAAAATAGGTCAAGCTGCCTGTTTCAGAGAGGTGTTGTATTTGGAAACCATAATAGCCAATGTGTTGTGAGGATTTCAAGACCTCTGAAACATATCCTTATGGATTATTATTGATTTTCTTATTGATTTTGAGAACCCTAAGGCCAAAATTGAATACATTTTGATTTAAAAAAACTCATACTATGAGGCGCCTGGCCGGCTCAGTCCGAAGAACATACAACTCTTGATCTCCGGGTTGTGAGTTCGAGCCCTATGTTGGGTGTAGAGATGACTTAAATAAATAAAACTTAGGAAAAAAAAAAAAAAACATACTATGAAGTCAAATGACAAAACATCAAATACTAGAAAGTAATCATAGATTTCTAGTTTTGTTTCTGATGCCTTTGTGTTCATTTTCTTTATTCTTAACTAGTAACAGTAGGTATTTGTAAGCAGCAAATTACTATTCTCATTTGGCTGAACACTTAAATAAATTCCATTAATGTTTTGGCAGCACTTATTACAGAAATTCTGTGTTAATAATAAAAATAATTGTTTAAATTTGATCTGGGCAGGAATTTCCTATACTCATGAGAGAACTTAATTATGTAAATTAATTTGCTTCTCAGAAACCAAGGATATTAAGAAATAATCTTTTTTAATCCCATTTTTAAAAGATTCATAGACAAGCATTATATAATATAATCATCCATGAGATTTTACCTAAAAGCTAAAAATATTTCATGATCAAGTATTCTGAGAAGGTGGAGGACCATTTTGTGATCCACAAAGGGCAAAATCAAATCTGAATCTCTACATGACTTAGGAACTGATTGAGCATGAAAGCAATAACCAAAGGGCTTCAGCATCTAGAAGAATGGAGTAGACTTCCTTTCACCTCTTCCACCTGCCAAGTACAGCTAGAACTCTGAAATATTGTATGTAAAACAATTACAAGAAGACTGAAAGGCAGAGGGAGGAAGGTTGACCAGCTTAGAGGCCTTGGGGTCTGAGGAAGGTGACACAGCAGTGATTTCCCTTGGTTTTCTTCAGATTGGGTTCTAGAGAAACTGGCAATCCAGAAAAGCCAGCAGGTGCAGGTGGAAAAAAGAAGCCTACTTTCTAGCCAAAGGACCAGGAAAGCCTAGCAAGACAGAAAGCTTTTAGAAAATAACCATTCTACTATGGCCAAACAAGGCAGAAAAAATTATGGTGCTGCTTCTACCATCAGCTTACTTTAATGAGGTTTTCCCGTACTCATCATTTTCCTGTGGGATTGGTGTCAGAAAAAGCCAGCAAAAGTATAGGTTTAAGTAAGATCCAGAGTCTCGTAACACAGTACCCAAAATGTCCAGATATCATTAGAAAATCGCTCTTCATACCCAGAACCAGAAAGATCTCAAACTGAATGGAAAAAAAAAAAATCAATAGATGCTAATAGCAAGATGACAGAGATGTTAGAACTGACAAAGAATTTTCTAGGCAACCATCATAAAAATGCCTCAACAAACAATTAGCATTGCCGGGCACCTGGGTGGCTCAGACGGTTAAGTGTCTGCCTTCGGCTCAGGTCATGATCCCAGGGTCCTGGGATCGAGCCCCGCATCGGGTTCCCTGCTCAGCGGGGAGCCTGCTTTTCCCTCTCTCTCTGCCTGCCGCTCCCCCTGCTTGTACTCTCTCTCTCTGTCAAATAAAAAATTAAAAATCTTAAAAAAAAAAAAAAATAGCATTCTTGAAACAAGTGAAAAGTAGTCTCAGCAAAAGTAATACAAATAAGAACCAGATAGAAATGTTAGAACAAAAAATATAATTAACATAAAAAAAAGCTCAGTGGATGGGGTCAACAGCAGAATGAAGGGGACAAAGGAAAGAAATAGTGAACTGGTTGATAGAAAAATAGAAATTACTCAGTCTATACTACAGAGAGAAAATAGACTGGGAAAAAAAATGAGCAGTGCATCAGGGACCTGTGGAACCATAACACAAACTCTAACATTGTGTTATCAGATTCCTAGAAGGAAAGCAGAACGAAGATGGCTCTAAAATACTCAATGACCAAAAACTTGCCAAGTGTGGCAGAAGACATAAACCTAGATTTAAGAGGCTGAGCTAACTCCAAACAGGATAAAACCCAGATAAATCCACGCCACGCCAAACTTCTGTCCACGGTCAAATCTCTGAAAGCTAAAGACAAAGGAAAAATTACAAGAGCAGTAAGAAACTTACCAATTCAAATGACAGCAGTTTCTCATCAGAAACAGTGGAGGTCAGAAAGAAATACACAGCAATTTCAAGAGCTGAAAGAGAATAATTTTCAGGATGGTAGAACTAGCAAAAATACCTTTCAAGAATGAAGAAAAGTGAAAACATTAATCAGGATGAAAGAAAGCTAAGAACTTATTAATAGCGGACCTACAAAACAATGGCTAATGGAAGTTATCTAACAGAAATGAAATAAAAGAAAGAATCTTTGAAGGAACACCAGTAACCAAAAGTATGGATAATTACGATAGATTTTTCTTAAAACATTTTAAGTCTTATAAATTGTTTGACAAATGAAGCAGAACAATAATGTCTAATGTGTTCTTGATGTATGTACAGGAAATACCATGGTGAAGAAGGGGCTATCAGGGGAGGTAAGGGTACTGTAATATACTATACTTCACCTGATTTGGTAAAATTGACAACATTGGTAGACTGTGATTAAGTTTTATATATATATATATATATATATATATATATATATATATTAAGTCTTATGTATATAAATGCAATATCTGGAGTAACTACTAAAAAATATACAAAGAGATACACTAATAAACAATAGGTAAATCAGTATGAAACTTTTAAAAAGGTTCAAATTAACCCTCAGAAAGGTAAGAAAAAGAAAACCAAAGCCAGCCACAAAAAACAAAGTGGCAGATGTAAGCCCTCACATTGTAATAATGACATGAAATGTACATGATCTAAATACACAAATCAAAAAAAATTGGCAGAGAGGATTAAAAAACATGACCCAACTATATGGGTGTCTATAAGAAACTCACTTCAAATATAATGATACAGGCAAGTTGAAAAGAAAATTATTGGAAAAGATATATCATACAAACATTAATCAGAAGAAAGCAAGAGTGGCTCTATTTATATCAAATAAAGTAGACTTAAGAGCAAAGAAAATTGCCAGAGATAGAGTGGGACATTATATGAGTCTGCCAGGAAGACATAGCAATCCTAAATATGTATATATCAAACAGTAGAGCTGCAAGATATGTGAAGCAAAAACCAATAGAAATCTGGAACTAAACTAAACAGTGGAATTAAACTAGAAATCAATAATAGTCTCCAATTTGTCTATTTCTCCTTTCAGTTCTATTAGTCTGGTTATCAATAAGCGATAACTGGAAAAAAAATCTCCAAAGACTTGGAAACTAAACAACGCACTTCTCTGTGTCTAGCGGACATCTTAAAGGAAACTTAAAAATACACTGAACAAATAATTAAACATGGGCAAAGGAGATCCGAAGAAGCCGAGAGGCAAAATGTCATCATATGCATTCTTTGTGCAAACTTGCCAAGAGGAGCACAAGAAGAAGCACCCAGATGGCTTCAGTCAACTTCTCAGAGTTTTCTAAGAAGTGCTCAGAAAGGTGGAACACCATGTCTGCTAAAGAGAAAGGAAAATTTGAAGACATGGCAAAGGCGGACAAGACCCGTTATGAAAGAGAAATGAAAACTTATATCCCCCCTAAAGGGGAAACAAAAAAGAAGTTCAAGGATCCCAATGCACCCTCCTTTGGCCTTTTTCTTGTTTTGTTCTGAGTATCGCCCAAAAATCAAAGGAGAACATCCCGGCCTATCCATTGGTGATGTTGCAAAGAAACTGGGAGAGATGTGGAATAACACTGCTACAGATGACAAGCAGCCTTATGAAAAGAAGGCTGCTCAGCTGAAGGAAAAATATGAAAAGGATATTGCTGCATACCGAGCTAAAGGAAAGCCTGATGCGGCAAAAAAGGGAGTTGTCAAGGCTGAAAAGAGCAAGAAAAGGAAGAAGGGGCACCTGGGTGGCTCAGTCGTTAAGCGTCTGCCTTCGGCTCAGGTCATGATCCCAGGGTCCTGGAATCGAGCCCCACATCGGGCTCCCTGCTCCATGGGAAACCTGCTTCTCCCTCTGCCTCTCCCCCTGCCTCTCCCACTACATGTGCTCTCTCTCTGTATCTCATATGAATAAATAAAATCTTTAAGAAAAAAAAAAAAGAAGGAAGAGGAGGAAGATGAAGATGAAGAAGAGGAGGAGGAGGATGAGAAGATGAAGAAGAAGATGATGATGAATAAGTTGGTTCTAGCACAGTTTTTTTTTCTTGTCTATAAAGCATTTAACCCCCCTGTACACAACTCACTCCTTTTAAAGAAAAAAATTGAAATGTAAGGCTGTGTAAGATTTGTTTTTAAACTGTACAGTGTCTTTCTTTGTATAGTTAACACACTACCGAATGTGTCTTTAGATAGCCCTGTCCTGGTGGTATTTTCAGTAGCCACTAACCTTGCCTGGTGCAGTATGGGGGTTGTAAATTGGCATGGAAATTTAAAGCAGGTTCTTGTTGGTGCACAGCACAAATTAGTTATATATGGGGATGGTAGTTTTTCATCTTCAGTTGTCTCTGATGCAGCTTCTACGAAATAATTATTGTTCTGTTAACTGAATACCACTCTGTAATTGCAAAAAAAAAAAAAAAAAAGTTGCAGCTCTTTTGTTGACATTCTGAATGCTTCTAAGTAAATACAATTTTTTTTTATTAGAAAAAAAACCAAAACAGTGAACTGGGCCAGGGTGGCTCAGTCGTTGGGTGTCTGCCTTCGGCTGGGGTCGTGATCCCGGAGTCCTGGATTCGAGCCCAGCATAGGGCTCCTTGCTCCGGGGGAGGCCTGCTTCTCCCTCTCCCACTCCCCCTGCTTGTGTTCCCTTTCTCGCTGTCTCTCTCTTTGTCAAATAAATAAATAAAATCTTTAAAAAAAAATATATTGAACTGAATGAAAATGAAACTATAGCATATCAGAAAATAACAGGTAATTCAGGTACAGAGAGGGAAATGTATAGCATTAAATGCCTACAATAGAATAGAAGTCTCAAAGCAAGAATCTTAGCTCCCACCTCAGAAACCCAAAGCAAATAGAAGAAATAATAAAGGTAAGAGCAGAAATCAGTGAAATTGAAAACAGGAAAATTATGATAGAGAAAATGAATGAAACACTGTGTTTTTTCAAGGTCATTAAAACTGAGAAACCTCTGTCAAGATTGACCAAAGAGAGAAGGCAGAGATTACCTTACCAGTATCAGAAACAAAACAGAACATAAAACTACAGATCTTGCAGACATCAAAGGAACAATACATAAATATAATAAATCACATAAAATGGACAAAAAAACACAGACTACTACAACTCACCTAATGTGAGATAGATTATTATTTTTTTTTAATTTGACTCTTTTTTTTTTTTTAAGGTTTTATTTATTTGTCAGAGAGAGAGAATGAGCACAAGCAGGGGGAGCGGCAGGCAGGGGAAGAAGCAAACTCCCTTCTGAGCAGGGAGCCCGATGCGGTACTTGATTCCAGGACCCTGGGATCATGACCTGAGCCAAAGGCAGACGCTTAGCCAACTGAGCCACCCAGGTGTCCCTGAGATAGATTATTTGAATAGTCCTATATAATTATGAAGGAAATTTGAATTCATAATTTTAAAATTCCCTAAAAGGAAATCTCTCTGTCCAGATGGTTTCACTGGAGAATTCTACCAAACATACAATCACTCATTCATTTCTTTTTTTCAAACATTTAAAGAAAGAATGAACACCAATTCTACAACATCTTTTCCAAAAAAAAAAAGAAGAAATGGGACATTTCCCTATTTATTTTATGAAGCTTATATTACACTGATAACCAAAACCAAAGAAAGTACCAAAAAAAAGTACAGACTGATACCTCTTATTATGTATAAGCAGAATTCCTTAACAGAGTATCAACAAATAGAATTTCAACAATATATGAAATCATACCCATGTACATACATAAAGTATATATATCATGGCCAAATGGAATTTATTCCAGGGATGCAAGGCTGGTTCAGTATTTGAAAACCAGTCGATATATTGGGCGCCTGGGTGGCTCAGTCGTTAAACGTCTGCCTTCGGCTCAGGTCATGATCCCAGGGTCCTGGGATCGAGTCCCACATCGGGCTCCCTGCTCAGCGGGAAGCCTGCTTCTCCCTCTCCCACTCCCCCTGCTTGTATTCCTGCTCTCGCTGTCTCTCTCTGTCAAATAAATAAATAAAATCTTTAAAAAAAAAAAAAAGAAAGAAAAAACCAGTCGATATAATCTCCATTTTAATTAGGTGAAGAAATAAAACCACATTGTAGCAATTAATGCAGAAAAAGCATTTGACAAAATTTAACACCTGTACATGTTTTAAAACTTAAAAAAAAAGGAATTGAAGAATACTTCCTCAGCTCGTTAGAAAGCATCTACAAGGGTGCCTGGGTGGCTCAGTCGTTGAGCGTCTGCCTTTGGCTCAGGTCATGATTCCAAGGTCCTGGGATAGAGTCCTGCATCAGGCTCCCTGCTCCGTGGGAAGCCTGCTTCTCCCTCTCCCGCTCCCCTTGCTTGTGTTTCCTCTCTGGCTGTCTCTCTCCCTGTCAAATAAATAAAATATATATATTTTTTAAATCTACAAAACAACCCACAGCTAACATTACACTTATGATGAAAGGCTAAATGCTTTTAGTCCTTGATTGGGAACAAGGCAAGGATGTCTGCTCTCACCATTTAAGATATTGGTGGGAAGTTCTAGTTAGTGCAATAAAGCAGGAAAGGGAAATAAAGGCAGACAACTCAGAAAGGAAGAAATAAAACTTTTTATTTGTGACTGACATGATTGTCTCTAGGAAATCCCAAGGAATTTACACACACACACACACACACAAACTAGTTAATAAATGAGTTCAAGAAAATTACAGGATACAGGGTGCTTGGGTGGCTCAGTCGTTAAGTTTCTGCCTTTGGCTCAGGTCATGATCCCAGGGTCCTGAGACTGAGCCCCACATCGGGCTCCTTGCTCCGTGGGAAACCTGCTTCTCCCTCTCCCACTCCCTCTGCTTGTGTTCCCTCTCTCAGTGTGTCTCTTTCTGTCAAATAAATAAAATCTTAAAAAAAAAAAATTACAGGATACAAGACAAATATATAAAAATCTATTATATATATGGGGCTCCTGGCTGGCTCAGTCAGTAGAGCATGTGACTCTTGATCTCAGAGTTGTGAGTTTGAGCCCCATGTTGGGCACAGAGTTTACTTTTTAAAAAAATCTATTTGTGTATATAGCAATGAACACCAAAATTTAAAATACAATGCCATCTATAATCTCACAAAAAGAAAATGAAATACCTAGGTATAAATCTAAAAATAACATACAGAACAGGACATATATGCTAAAAACTGCAAAATGCTAATGAAATAAAGATATAAATAAATGAAGAGATATACAATGTTCATTGTTTGGAGTACTCAATCTAATAAAGATGTCACTTCTTCACAGATTGATAAAGAGGTTTAATCCAATACCTATCAAAGTTCCAGTAAGATTTTTTGGTAGGTATCTGACAGTATTGTTATAAAATATAGATAGAGGGGCAGAGGACCTGGAATAGCTAAAACAATTTTGAAAAAGAATAAAGTAGGGGAATCACTCTTTGATTTCAAGCCTTAACGTAGACTGTGTGATATCAGTAAAGGAATAGATACTTAACAGCAGTGGGACAGAATAGAGAAACAATAAATAGACCCACGCAGATATGCCCAAATAATTTAACAGAGGTGCAGAAACAACTTATAGAGGAAGATAAGCATTTCAGTTAAATGGTGCTCCAGCAATTGGACATTCATAGACAAAATAAATGAACCGAGTCTCACATCTTATACAAAAACTAAAAACAGATCATGGAGTTAAATGTAAAACATTTAGCTATTTATCTTTTGGGGGGGGGGAGGAGAAAGTCTTCAGGATGTAGTGATAGACATGCTTGTCACTAAAAGCATGATCCATAAAAGGAAAAATTGATAAGTTTGCCTTTTCAAACTTTTGCTCTATGAATGAGCCTGGTAAAAAGATGAAAATGCAGGCTACAGACTGGGAGAAAATACTTGTAAACCAAATACCAACAAAGGACTAGTATCTAGAATAAAAAACTCGCAAAACTCAATAGTTTAAAAAAAAAATCAGTCCAATTAGAAAACGGGCAAAAGACATGACCAGAGATTTCATCAAAAAGGACATATAAGAGGCATATAAGCACTCGAAAAGATACTCAACATCAACCAGCTGTTAGGAAAATGCAACTTAAGACCTCTATGAGATATCACTATACGTCCGTCAGAATGGTTAAAATTTAAAAAAGTGACAACACCAAATGCTGGCAAGGATATGGAGAAACAGATCACTCATACATTGCTGGTGGGAATGTAAAATGATAGGGCCACTCTAGAAACAGTTTGACAGTTTCTTTAAAAACTGTACATTCAGGGACACCTAACTGGCTCAGTCAGTAGCGCATGCAACTCTTGACCTCAGGGTCATGAGTTCAGGCCCCACATTTGGGGTGGAGTTTACATAATAAATAAAATGTTAAAAAAAAAAAAAAGGAAAGAGAGAAACTAGACATTCACCTACCATGCTACCTAGCAGTTGCACATCTGAGCATTTATCCCAGAGAAACAAAGATTTCTGTTTACCCAGAAACCAGTACACAGATGTTCATAGCATCTTTATTCACAATATGGCCAAACAGTGAAAACAACCTAGATGTCCTTCTACGGATGAATAGTTCGACAAAGTTACATAGTACATCCACACTACAGAATACTACTCAACAGTAAAAAGGGATGAACTATTGATACATGCAACAACCTAGATGAGTCTCCAGAAAACTATGCTTAGTGAATAAAGTCAAACCCAAAAGATTGCATACCATATGGTTCTATTTGTGACTTTCTTGAAATGACAAAATTAGAGAAATGGAGAACAGGTTAGTCATGGCCAGGTTTAAGAGGGGGTGTCAGGGTGGAAGGAAAGTGGGTATGTTTATAAAAAGACCAACACGAGGGATCCTTATAATGAAATGTTCTGTATCACTTATCAACATTTTGATTGTAACAATGTGCTATACGTTTCCAAGATACTACCATTAGAGGAAACCAGGTAAAGGTTACACAAGATCTCTCTGTATTCTTTCTTAAACCTGCATGTGAATCTATAGTTACCTCAGAAAGTTTGATCAGAACACAATAATAATAATAACCACACACAAACAACTTTAAAGTTAACCTGTTGTTAAAAATCACAGTGGCAATTTTTTTTTTAATTAAAGATTAAGAAGCCTCACAGTTGTATTATAATAAAATACCAGTGTGAGAATATGGAGCATAGTTATAAAAGCTTAAGTGATATTTTTTGAATTTCCAAAAACACAATTTCTTTTTCAAAATATTAAGTTACTAATTTTTTAAGTATGGCTCTTTGGTGAGTCTCTGTCACATTTTTGCACAAAGCAAATTTTTTTTTTTTTTACAACAACCAGGTTTTTCCATGCTGAATATTATGTTTTAGCTTATGCCTAACAAATAATAAAGTCATTGTTGAGATTTTTATTATGCATACATAGACTTTCTTAGTAAGATTGTTCAGAAGTAACTGAAGAAAATTATACTAATATTCATAAAAGAGACAGCTGAGCTATATAGAATAAGAAAGACCTGGTTGGAAGATAATAATGAGTTTTATGTGGAGCAAAGTAACTAAGGGAAGAACTCCAAAATTGGGCAAAACATTAGATGTTTTGCACTTTCATAAATAATCTAGTATTTTTTTTTAAACAAACTGACTTCATTCATGACCTTTTCTGCATGTCAGACGTTAAAACCCAATTAAGTACATCATTAAGTAAAGAGAATTTATAGAACAGTATATGTTTATGCATTTTTCTACATCACCCATATTAAAGCATTTTGGTCAGTTCACAGTAAGGTTGGTGGTGCTATTTTAAATCAATTTAAATAGTTGTCACCACTTAAAAAAGTAAAAAGGTAAATCCATATATCTACCATCTGTCATCTGGCTTCAGAAGTTATCACCATTTTGACGATGTTTTTTATTATGTCCTCTTTTTTTTTTAAAGGAAATTCCAGAAATATTTTACCTATAAATATTTCAGTGGCAATAATTTAAAAAACATACAACCATGATACATCGTCCTATACTGTACTCACCTTTGTGATGATGTGAGACAGTACAATGCCTGTGTTATAAGATGAAATGAGGTGCATGACGTAGGCATTGTGGTGTAGCGTTAGGCTGCTCTTGACCTAACTGTACATCAGAAGGAGGATCATCTGCTTCTGGAGCATGGTTGACCGAGGGTAATAGAAACCATGGAAAGCAGAACCATGGATAAGGGGGACTACTGTATGTGAAAAAATAGAATGATTTATACAGAGCCAGTGTCCTGATCATGGACCATTTGACTAAAAGTTCTTTTTAGAAATTTAAACCTAGGGGCACCTGGGTGGACCAGTCGGTTAAGCATCTGCCTTTGGCTCAGGTCATGATCCCAGTGTCCTGGGATTGAGCCCTGCAGCGGGCTCCTTGCCCAGCTGGGAGTCTGCTGCTCCCCCTGCTTGTGCGCACACGTGCTCACTTTCTCCCTCTCTCTGACAAATAAATGGAATCTTAAAAAAAAAAATTTTTTTTAAACTACATCATTATTCATTAAGGTTAAACCTGATGGAGTGATGATTCCTTTCTGTTTATTAACTAGACCTGTTGCCTTTTGCTGTTATGCTGCAATCTATTTTTATATTTTAATCAAGATCTAGTTACTATAGTGCCAAATAGAGACCATGAAGTTTTTAACTCTTATACTTCCCTGGAAGAGATTGGTTAATTTGCAGCATCAGATGACAGCATTTTTCCAACATTAGTTGTGTTGTTGCTGGAAGTAAGTTTACTATTAGTCCATGGATTTACTACTCAGTTAAATGATTTCATCTATGAAGGATCTTTTGAGGGGAAGAACAGCCAAACTGGTGTTAGAGAAAAATGCATAGGATAGCTCCCCACAACAAAGAATTGTCTGGTGTAAATATCAGTAGTATCGAGGTTGAAAAACACTGAGCCAGAATAACAGGATACAGTTAAAATCAGTGAAGTGAAGCACGAACAACTCTGTGTCATACATGAATCCTCTTTATTCATTTAGAAGTAGGTGGGATGGTGTATGATGATCTTCAAAATGCTTTATTTCAGAGGGCCTGGGTGGCTCAGTCGGTTAAGCGTCTGCCTTCTTGTCCTTCTACCCCTTCCCCCACCAATCATGCTCTTTCTCGCTTGTGCTCTCTCTCTCAAATAAATCTTCTTTAAAAATGCTTTATTTCAGAAGCTCCTGGGTGGCTTAGTTGATTAAGTATCTGACTCTTGATTTCAACTCAGGTCATGATCTCAGGGTGGTGAGATTGAGGCCCCTCTCCCCCCCGGCCCCAATCAGGCTCCAGGCTCAGTGCAGAGTCTGCTTGAGATTCTCTCTCTCCCTCTGCTCCCCTCACCCCCGTGTGCACACGCTCACTTTTGCTCGCTCACTCTAAAATAAAATCTTTTTTAAAAAGTGCTTTATTTCAGTGACAGTCTGGGGAGAGAGTGAGGACAGAGTGCTATTAGAAAGTGACACCACTTCTGCTTCTGTTTGATGGGCTCTCTCTGACCTTTGACCACTAATACCATCATTCAGCACTGCTCTACTTAAAATACTTGAACTTTATTTTTTCCTTAACTCCACCCTCTCCGATACCAACTGTTTTGCTCTTACCTGAATTTATGCTGCTGATCTTCAGCTGGGATCTTAAATTTAAAATGATACCAAGACTGTACTTTCAAATATTATTTTTGGGGGGCACCTGGATGGCTCAGTCAGTTAAGCATCTGACTCTTGATTTCAGCCCAGGTCATGATCTCAGGGTTGTGAGATTGAGTCCCACATCAGGCTCCATACTGGGCATGAGCCTGCCTGGGATTCTCGCTCTCCCTTTCCCTCTGCCCCTCCCCCCCTCAAAAAAATATTTTTCAAATTATTTTCTAGAGAGCATAAAAATAAAATACCTTAAAAATAAAATTCCTCAGACAAGATCTACTATTTATAAAATCATATATAACATTAATACCACACACATATAAACATTTATTATCTACACACAAACAGCTTTCTCCATGTAAAACCTCTCTATTAGCAAACTACTACAGTATACAACTACTGTGTTTAAGTATATTGGTTTCCAAACTGTAAGTTACAATTTCTGAGTTACAAGTTATAATAAAGGAATTCATCCTTCCTGTGAAGTAGATTTTAGTCACTTCATAATACAACTTTGGATAGCTCTAAACGTGCTATTATAATTTGTCCTTTTTGTTATTCACTGAGGAAATACACCCATAAATGTGATAGTAGAAATACACCCCGGAGTTCATCCCCTAAATGTCAATGAAATCAGAAAGCCAATTTCAACCAAAACAGTCTTGTCTATATGGTATTCCCACGGTAATAGGAGACCAGAACTTAATTCTTTACACTTTCAGTTTCTAGTACTGATTTTTTAAACATGATACTTGAGTTCATAGCACATGGAGGGAAAAACCCATTTAGTTGCGTATGGTTTATTCAAGTAATATTTACGCTGAGTATACAGAGCATTTTAGGAAAATGAGATTTAGGCTCTTTTATCTCTGGCTGACAAAAAAGAAAAAAATTACTTTGACCTCCATTTTACTGCAGATTTTGCTGATAGGAAAATTAAGAATCAGCTGTGTGACTGGCAGTAAATATTTTTGAGTATTAGTTTTGATTTCTGTTTTCAACTGAGACCTGAAGGTCATTGAGGACGCCAAGATACCATGTGTACCTGGTAACTGTCCTGGCTCCTCATGGAAACACCTCCTCAGCTGCCATCCTCTGGCAGATCATTCTAGAACCACAGCTTTGTTTAGTGTCCTACTCCGCGGTGTCCCAGGAAAATCTGGCCTCTGTGGTCTGCCCTGTGACAAACTGAGGTGTTGGTATGAAGGTTACATACAAGAAGCTCCTTCTGTCACTCAAATCAGTGATGTGCACATATGTGGTGTCCGCATTTAGAAGAGTGTCTCATAAGTGGAAAATTTATTTCAGAAGAATTTTCAGGTGATTAAAACATGCCAAGTACCTGAAATAATGCTGTTGTATATTTGTATGGCACATTGTCAAAGTTCTTTCACATTTGTTATCCCCTTTCTATTGTGCCATACAGTAGAGAATAGCAGTATTGAAGACTATTCTATCCTTCTTTGAGGAGCATTAATTAAAACGAGCACCTCTATGGACACCTGGGTGGCGCAGTCGGTTAAGCATCTGCCTTCAGCCCAGGTCATGATCCCGGGGTCCAGGGATTGGGTGCTGCGTCAGGCTCCCTGCTCAGCAGGGAGTCTCCTCCTTCTTCCACCTCTGTCACTCCCCCTGCTTGTGCTCTCTCTCTCTACTCTCAAATAAATAAAATCTTTTTAAAAAATAAAATAATAAAATGATCACCTCTGCATAGGGTTCCGTGGTCAGACGTGTTTAGGAGGAGCTGGTGTGTATCTCCCTTATAGAAAACCAGAATTCACAATAGTTTATTAGTTTCTGAGAACCCCCTGTTAAGAAGCTTGTTCAGTTTTATTTAACCTAGAGGTTTCCAGTGTGATTTAACCATTCTCCCCCCGAAAATGGAATTGGGATAGGGGATATATAATATCTGAAAGATGAATGTCTTTCTTATTTTGCTTATTCTCCTACTTCATGGTAACATATGGGTTGCAGTTGGTGGTGTGGAGATTGCTTTTTCCTTAGCTCAGAATATCTTATAAAAACATTCTTTTCCAGGGGGACCTGGCTGGCTCATTCAGTGGAGGATATGACTCTTGATCTTGGGGCCATGAGTTCAAGCCCCACATTGGACATAGAGCCTACTTTAAAAAATAAATAAATAAAAATAAACAATTTTTTCCCTCAAATCAGTTGTATTTAGAGCTGTGCTTCTCAAACATTAATATGCACGCAGATCACCTAGGAATCCTGTTAAAAGGAAGATTCTGATTCCATAGGTCAGGGGTGTGGGCTGAAAGCCTGCATTTGGAACCAGCTGTCTCATGTTGTCCATGCTGCTCTCCTGGGCGGGCTTTGAGGAGTGTGGAGACTGAAGTTCCTTCAGCTCTATTACCTAACGGAAGAACCTGAGAGACTACTGTCTTTTTCTGTTCCTCAGAAACATTCCTTCAAATGATTTCATCCTCTCCTTCTCTAGGCTGTCAGCATATAATTACATAATCAAAGTTAAACCATTTTAAAACAAAAACCTGTCATTCCCAGTTCTGGATATGTTCTCTTCTAGTAAGATCCATCTCCATTTCCTCATTCATTTTCACACCGCAGTTCACAGGTCAACTTCCTCTACCATGGCCAAGGTTACCCTGGACTTCCTAAAATTGCCTATCCTAACAAATACTTTTCTGTTCTTACCTTAAACAGTTCCTTCCGGATATTAGAATCTTCAGTAGCCTCTGTCCTGAAGTGTTTCTTTTCCCCTACCCCTTTATAGTCAATTATAATGACATATATAATTCAGTGGTGAATATATATTGCTTTCCACTGTGTCTTGTGATTTCTACCTGTTAAGTATCTCCCCAAGTCGTTCTCTTCTATCATTGCTCTTGGATTCCCTGTCCTAATTTTTCAATCCTCTAAATTGTTGCCTCTGAGATCTTCATAAAAATGAAAATTGAATGTCACTCCCCAATTTTATTAACACCATGTGTAGTGGGCTCCTCACAGCTTCAGAATCAAACTCATTAGCTTGGAAAACAAGTCCCCTTATTGGCCATCTCCTTACAATGTGCTCTCTATATTATACTAAGAGCTCATCAGCTGGGTGGTGCTCTTTCAGCCCGCCTCCGCAGAAAGTATTCTCGACCCTTCAAATGCCCTTTCTTCCTACCTGATCCTTCAAGGCTATAACAAAGTCTCATACCTCCTCTTGGAATGCCATGACACACAACACACCCTCCCTGCCCCCTCCACCACCAGCCACCACACATGCACACATAGCAATTATATGCTCTCTTCTCTGTGTTCATTCCTAAATCTTCCTGAGCATGAATTTATCTTAGCACTCTGTCATGACGCTTGTTTTTCATGTTGGTTCAACATAAGGGCAGCATTCTTTGAAAATGGACTATCTTTTCATCTCTGCATTCCCAGCACCTAGCATAGTTTCTCCTCTGCATAGTAGATAATAAATGTTTGGATGGTTAAGTATTTATTTAATTACTTCTCTCTTGTCCTTTTTCCTTCAGTCTTTAATCTTTTATGCTTTGGTCCCACTTGGTTATATGTAGGTGGAATTCTGTCCTAAACCTTCTTTGCTCTAAGCATTCTAAAACTCATGAGATTTTTGAAAACCCAGAAGAACAGATTGGCTTCTCCTTTTATAGGAGCTTCCTTCAGTAGCTACCTAATGTCCTAGTAGTTGGAAAAGATTTTTTTTTAGACCCAGGAATAAATGTCACAAAGATTACAGCAGGCTAGGAAAAATGCCCCTTCCCAAAAGCCTCATGCTAACTTCATGAAAATTTCAGGATGCCCCAGAAGTGATGTATTACTGTATTATAATTATATATGTAACTCTGTTGTGTGTGTATATGTAGTTACATATATCCTTCCCTGTCTTTCTCTGTGTATTTTCTCTATAGAGTAAAATTCCATTTTCTCAGAGTTGTATATTACCAAAACTCAGTATTATATTCCCTCTAGGATTCCAAAGAGGATTGTGGTGTGAATTGTGGTTAAACTTGCCATTTGCTTAACAGTTGTCTCCTTATCAGATATTCTCACTCTCTTAGCCATTTGATGGGTTATTTTTCCCTATGTTCATCAATTTTACTATGGGAACCCAGAAAAATACATAAACATCAAACAATGTTGAGGCAAAAGTCTAATAACTTAAAATATCTTAAAAAAAACACCTTAAGCTCTTGGGGTACCTGGCTGGCTCAGTCAGTGGAGCACTTGACTCTTGAACTCAGGGTTGTAAGTTTGAGCTTCACGTTGGGTGTAGAGATTACTTAATATCTTGAGGGGCACTTGGCTGGCTCAATTGGAAGAGGTTGCGACTGATCTTCATCTTGGAGTCATGTGTTCAAGCCCCATGTTGGGTGTAGAGATGACATATTAAATGAATAAATAAACTTAAAAATCTTTAAATAAAATATCTTAAACTATTGAAAAATCAAGGCTGGCAATTCCTGGCTTAGCTGCTAAAGTACTAAAAGATAAACCAAGGGCACCCGGGTGGCTCAGTCGGTTAAGTGTCTGCCTTTGACTCAGGTCATGATTCCAGGGTCATATGATCAAGTCCCGCATCAGGCTCCCTGCTTGGCAGGGAGTCTGCTTCTCCCTCTACCCCTCCCCCTTGCTTGTGTGTACGCGTGCTCTCTCTCTGTGTCTCATACTCTGTCTCAGGCACACTCTCTCTCAAATAAATAAAATCTAAGCAAAAACAAAAGATACAGCCAAGATAATAGTTGGAAAGCATAGTCAACTAACTAGCTGGCCCTAAGACAGATTGCAGTAGCTTGCCGAACCATCTAAACTGACAGGATAGGTGGAGTTCTATGTTTAGGGAAAACACATGACTTGTGTAACTAAGAACACCAATTTCAAGGCCCCTTGAATATGCTCATGTCCTGTCCCAGTACCTCCAGACTTAATTTGCATTGAGAGCACATCTTTCTTGCCTTGGGCTGTATTAGAAGTGGTGGAACAGGTAATTCTATAAAGCTGGAATGTGGTGTAAACTGAAGGCTTTCTTGTCCCCTTCACCCTGTTCTCAGTGTCAAGGGTACCATACGAATTTTTCACTGGAAATTTGGCCTGACCGTATCAGGTTTCCAGCATCCTTGGAGGAGTGTTTAATAAATATTTATTACTCTCTTCCCCTAATGGGAAGATTTTGCTGATAGCATCAGTTTCTCCACCCCTT